CGGGCACAGCTAAAGAGCAAGTACTTTTCAGGGTCTATCACAAAATAACTTTTCAGGGTCTATCTCACCACGTTCTCTCGACCTTGCTTGTGATAACAAAGCACTGTGATCACTGTGATAACAAAAAACATATCTGTGATGTCATTTCTGGGTCATTCTCCCATGTACTGCTGCTGTGGGAAGTTCAAGAAATAAGAAGTGTGTTTAAAAGAAAACTAAAATCATAATTTTTAAACTAATCAGCGCCTGAACAGCGAATTAATGCAGACTGCACGAAATAATGTCCTCCTCAATGTAAACTCTCACTGACATTTGAACCCTTCAAATAAACATACGTTGCAGAATTCTACACCAGGCTCTGTGGCGGCTTGTGATCATTTGTTGGGCATGAGCTGGGGTTGTGAGGGTTAAACACAGGCGAAGGTGGCATTGCTGACTCATCCTCAATGTTTCATTATTTTCTCATTTTATAAATGGCAAATTTCCCCATCCCCCAATAAGAAATAATTAAATTCAGTTTAATTTTTTTTGTATTTGCCCATTACCCTGGAGGGCATGTCACAACGCGTGATGGCATTTCACGGGGTGGGGCCACAGCCGGCCGGATGCACACGCCTGTGTCACCCCCCGCAACCGCGTGGCGCGTTCCGTGCCACACGCGTGCGTGCGTGGATGCGTGGATGTGTGGGTGTGTGTACGTGTTTGGGGAGTGGTAGTGTAAGTGGTTAGTGCACTGAGCCAAGAACCCGGTTCTCCGGGTTCGAGTCCAGGCCACGGATAACATCATTTGGCAGCCGATATCTGGATTAGTGGACGTGCCCTCTTCACAAAGCAGCACCGACCAAAATACGGCGACGTAAGTCAAGTACGGTACCGGTCCTTCATATCCCGTGACTGGTTCAGCGTAGGGAGACCTTCATCCAAGAGTAGATTGACAGAGAGCTGTGCATTATACCTGTACAGTACTTCAATTTCCCTCCCACATGAAGCCACACACATTCACGAACGGAATTGTTCAAATATCCCAATGCAGGAACCTCCCGAAGGTCTTGAAACTCGGTGAGGTTTTCTTGGATAAATGAAGGTCACGAGTTTCGATCATGAGTCATTAACAATTTGAATAGCAAAAACTTAAAAGTACGTAAAAAAAGGCATGGCGAGATTCCGCTTGGAGTTACATTGATGGGCAGGGTGATTATCTTGGTCTTCTCGAAGTTGGCTCCGCCTGTCACAGGTACCTGGTGCGGTGTGTGAACACCAACACTGGAGGGACAAAGGCGGCCAGGCGTGGTTTTGGACACACCACCTCTTATCTTGTTCCGGCCCTCATAGATATTATCTAACAGCACTTGCTTCAACAGCCTGTATAGGTTATGCGAGTGGGATTATTTGCTCTATCGTTTGTGCGTGTATGCAGGTGGACTTTATGAGTGTGCAAGGGAGGTGGTGTGGAATTGTGATCAAAGAAAACTAACGTTTGATCCCTGGCGACTGACCAAATGGTACACACTAGTGGCGACTTGGACATGGGACCTGGGCCTGCATCTGCCTTAGGTTGGCACAGCTTGAAAATGAGCACTTGATGTGGCGTTGTGGTGAATGTCAGCACAGGTGAGACAAATGCGATAGAGTATGTGTTGCACTGGCCACGTGACCTCACCGAGTCTTGCCAACCTCGTTCCAAAAGGCTGTGGCGTTAAACAGGCACCTTGTTGATGTCTGTGTTGCCTTCGTGCACCCGGTACTCGTCAGTTAAGCGTGGACTGTGCTTGGATGGGTGACCACCATGCAGAACAGGTTGTTATAGACTGCAAGGATACGTGATGGGCAGAAGAGGGCAGTGCAACACAATCCTTTGTGCATTGTACTTATTATATGCTCCCATTTCTATGCCTCCTACTGTCATCAACCCCCACTGACCAGCACGGTGAAGTTTGGTCAAATGACCCCTCATGACCCATAAGGCGTGGGGAGGCCCTCATCCAGCAGTGGATTGACATAAAACTGTGTATCTACATCAGCAAGTGGTCTTGTAGGGCCCAAAGATGGTACTAATGACTGTGCCTTCAGTCAAATTCCCAAAGTGACTTTTGCCTTAACTTGGAGATTACGTTTTAGCAGAAACATTTGGCTGTGATGCTCCCTGTTGGGCACAAGTGGAATGAGTTCTATAGCTCGGGCCAACAATAGTTATTAAGTTGTGAACCGTTACAATTTGAAGCTCCCCCCCTCTAAGAAAATCAACAAACAGAGCTATCAAACGGAAGCCGACACGTTTCTTGCATGGAGAAAGTTTATTATGAGTGGTAAGGGATGGAGACCATTGGGAGAGAATTCCAAAGTGGGAGAGTGCGAGGGCAAGAAGCAAGACATTAGTGTGGACATATCGTTACGTAAAGCCAGCGCCGCCTGTTCGCCTAAATCAGTGGTTCTTAACATTCACTGCAGCCTTGCACCCGCCCAGAAAGGGCATCTCACACACCCCAGGGGGTCCAGCGGTGCACCCCAGGTGAAGGACCACTGGCCTAAAAACAACACGCCACCCCTCCCGGATGGCAGCAGCCTCAACTCCACGCCACAAATAACAAACGAAGGCGAGAGATGGAAGCGTGAGCCTGGACCGCAGCCGGTGTCGAAAATAAACAGCGACGCGACGACCGTCGACCCTCCCGGTGTCAACCTTCCACGGCGACAACGGTCGACCTTCAACCGAATCGGGACCGGTCCACGTGGCTGATGCGGTTACCACCCGATGACGCCACAAAATCGGCGCGTCCATGATTCGGCGGGGCCTGAGAAGTGGGGCCACGAATCTCGAACCATCGACGGGGCATCGTAAACACTCCGCCGCCGCCGCTGATGTCTTCAGTCATTTAAAAGAGGAATGTGCGAGATCCACCCTGCTTCTGAACAGACAATTGAGTGAATATTCATGACGAGCCTTTTTGCCCATCCAAGGACGGGAGTATTGCAGTAAATCTGAAACTTAAGCAAGGGAAAAGCAGACCGCGACGTGATATATTCATTGCATCAATTCGTGTGCAATATGCAAGGGCGTGGTGACAGAGACCTATTTTATTTTAAGGTTATAATCCCTTGTTCATCATGACGTCCTTTTTACTTTGATGTCTCAATAGCGTTACGGAGATCGCGTGACGTGAGGGTTCTACAGTCTACATTATAGACTACCAGTACGCTCACCGAGGTTAAAAACTAGGCTACAATCTGCATTATAGACTCCCAGTACACTCACACAGCTTAATAACCATTGCTGCAGTCTACATTATAGATTGCCAGTACACTCACTCCGATTAAGAACCAGGCTAGTCTACATTAGTGTTTTTTATTTCTATTCACTTTATTTTTTATTCTTATTTTTCTATCTACGTGACTTTACCGAAAGAACCAAAAAATATAAATTCTTGCAGTCACGAAAGTTTAGTAAAAATTCTTGGCTCATTTTATTCGGTAATAATAATGGGGGGGGGGGGGGGGTCCATTTGGAGGACGTCACCTGCTCATGAATATTAATGAGGGGGACTGGTCGATGTGGAGTGACGTCACGAGCGTTAAGGACAGACATTCCTGGGTGATTATAGTAGGTATATGGTAACTTTTTTTTATTGTGCTTAGCCCTTGGTTCATGCACTGTTGGGTGAAGGCCTCTCAAGGCGATTGTTTGACCATACTGTGCTCCACCACGATGGTCAGTTTGCTCTTGGATTGGGTGGGGGGTGACCAGGACTGGTTAAAAATCCTCAGATATTCACCAAGTAAATGTGCCACGTTTGGCCAACGTCGTCATGTGGTTGCCCCAAAGTTGGCTCAACGTTCCATGTTTTTTTGTGCCGCATTTGCCAATGTGTTTCTGCAACTTTGCAACTCTGGGGTTCAAATCCGTAAATTATGAGAAAAACCCATATCAGAAGAGCATAATCACCCGAACTGAAAACCCACGTGTCAAACAACAAGATGGAAAATGCGTCCAAAGGACAGAGTCTTTGAGCATTATGCAAAACAATTACATTGTAGGTACTTAAGAAAATAGCGACGATTTGTTTGCATATGCACAAAGGTGTTTAATACACATGCGTGTTGTCTTGTTTAAAGCCTCTGGAGTTGCAACGGTCTTGGCCTAAAGGGAGAGTAGATCTAAGTCAACGCTTTGAAAGGCTTGCCATCTTCCACCCACCCCTGCTGATCTCAGACTTTGATGGCTTTTACGGTTTGGTTTAACATAGATCACGACGGTGTTTTTAACTGGAATTAAACATTGCTGTATGACATTGTATTCCCGCTGTTCATCACAGCACTTGGCTTAACGGAGTTAACCTAATTGGTGTATGTGAATATATTAAAAACGCATTCACCCACAGAAGCCTCATCGAGTCTTAATGCTCTAGGGAGGGTCCTGCATTGGGATATTCGGCCACTTTATATTCACGTGCGTTTGGCTTCCGTGTGGGAAGAGCCCCCTTCCAAAAATGAGAGACTGAAACGCCTCAACACACACGTGACGGGGTGACACATTCAACACTGTCACTTTTTCCACCTCGCGGCCCGCTCAGCCTGCAGCACCTGGCAAGCCGCGGGCTGGTGATGCATCCACCTAATTAACTCAGCTCAATTTGAGATTCAGCAGGAGGCATTCGTGTGGTTGTGCTGCCCTCTGGCGTTGGTCCTGTGGCTCACAGCGACAGCGGACGGTGTGCATACAAACATTATGCTAAGAGCGGCACTGTAATGAGCAAAAAGGACAGAGGAAACATTGAAAGTCTAGCACAAGAATGATAACTTAACCCATATATTTATCCTTGCAAATTGTCAATTATTCCATGTCTTTTATTTAAACTTCAAATGTCAGCGAACCATAGGTGATTTAAAAACGTAGAACTTCTTAATGCCCGTCATCTGGTTGAGTAATTGGAAAAAAAAGGCCTCGCGTACCTTGGGGGCATGAATGCCTTTAAATACAAACACATACACACTGAAACACAACGTGATTGTAAACTCGTTTAATAATAATAAAAAACATTATTCTTTTCGCAACAGGTCCACATTTTAAAACATCAGAGCTGTAACTTTAAAACCCGACAGAAGCATGTACAATTGGAGGTAAATGCTTCCATTCACTTGACATAACATTTGGCAAGTACTCACAGTCAAGAGTGTTATGTTAATGTACAACCATTTCATGGGATGGTCACGAGGCTCTGCAGCTCTCTAGGGAAGGCCCTTTGTGCGATTAATAAGGCCGTGTCCGCTACGTAATTGGTTCATCTGCATGCACAAGATGAAGACACACGTGCCGTACAGAATCACGGGAAAACACCCGCACAACACCTTGTGAGCCTAAAAATGAGCTCCCTTTATTAGAGGTCCAACCACCGGCTGTAACATGAGCAAGGAAACGTAGAGTTGCACACCCATCACCAGCTCCATACAAACTGTGGCGGCGAGTTGTGCAGCCGGGCTGAACGTGGCTGCACAAAATCCGTTCGTGATGACAAGGCTCCCAAGACAATTGCCGAGCTGAGCATTGTCGAGTGTTCTTTTGAGAGTTCAACTATGAAACTATATATTTTTATTTATTTTACCAGGTAACGCACACCGATATATATAGCTATTTTTAAGAAGTGACACGGCCTCACATAATAGCTCAATGAAGTGGCTTATGTGAAGATTCATAGCGGCCAAATACGCTGAACGCATGTTTCTAAATGTGGAGGGGAAAAACCGGAGGACCCGGAGAAAAACCCACGCGACCACGGGGAGAAGACACAGACTCCAAATATACAACAGGCGCCAGGGTTTGGATTGAATCCACGACCTCCTGCATATCAGGCGAGGGAGTTAACATCTTGCCATCGTGGCGTCTCGCATCAATGATCAGGGCTCCAAAGAACTACAGAGCTGAACCCTCTCCAGCATTTACAGTGGCTGTAAACTGGGCCTAAAAGCAGCAACTTTAAAATCGCGGAGTGACAACAACGAAACACGGTGTTTGTCCCACGCCTTCATCAAAATGTGGGATGTTTCGTTAAGCTCACGATTGTCTCCTCCTTGCACAGACACTGACTGCACTATGCACACATCCTTTCCATAACCAACTGTGCCCTAGCGGAGTGGCCCAGAGTGGCATGATCTTTATGAGTTGGAATCTAGGCAAGGTCGGAGAGGTGAGTCAAGGTTAGGATTGCTTCAGATGTAAGCAACACAAATTGAAATCGTACTTGAATATTGCAGCAAAAAGTTTGGGTAGTATGGTAGAAAAAAATGGTATATACAAGGTGGCTGAGTAAATCAAGGATCACAGCACTCAGCCAGTCCTGCAGATTTTAAGTGTGCTTCAAAGTGGCCAGCCACGAATGTGCCTGGTTTCAAATGCTTGTGAATGTAATGGTACGACATTTTCAGAACAACCTTTCAGCAAACCTTGACTAGACGTTGCCCTGCAAAGGTGCCACTCGCCTTTGGGTGAGTTAGTAGGCCACAGAAGTGTAGCAGGAAGGATGCTTGGAGGAGCTATTTATGGTGGAGAATGTTTACATATTTAACACCCTATTTTAAAGCCCCTGCCCCCTTCAAAAGTCATCTGTCTCATTACTCTACATTTTCACGCATCTAACATTCGATTTGGCGGGTCCCCTTAAAAACGTCGAAGCGAGGTTTCGCTGTACAGTACTTTGTTCCTGCAATAACGGACGACACATTCATCAATGCAACATGCTCATGGAACTGTATAATTAGAAATTAGAAATACCTCGAAGTAAGCCACACGGGTCCTTGCCTAATCGTACAAATTCCAAACATTAAACTCCACAAGTCTGCAGCCGTGCACATTATCTGGCCTTCTTCAAGTCAATAAAGACCGCTGCCGAAAGACAAAATAAAAATAAATCTGTAGTGCAAACACGTGCCGAGTTTAAAAACAAGCGTTTGATTAAAATTGAGGATCTTTCTTTTTTTTTTAAAACAGCAACCCAAAGACACAAAATGGTAAAACACACATTTGACAAAATACATGACTGTACGCACTCCAGGGGAAAATGAAAATCACTGGCAAGCCAGTCCAATGAGGATGCGTCTTGTATTGAGGTGACGTTTTGTACGAGCAATTGGTATTGCATTGCGTATTTGTGTTGTATCTTATGAATTAGTTATATTTAAAATAGCTCATGCATTATAATGCAAGCTGCATCCAAACTGCAATGAGTGAGTGCTTCATTATTACATGGGCACACACACACTGGATGTTAGTCTACAGCACTCAGTCACGGATGTGTGAAGGGGAATACTGAATACTAATTGATTTTTGATCATAAACATTATTTCATTTCAATAGACACAGCAATAATTAGCATAACCTCATTACTAAAACGCCTTTTGACATCCCAGGGCCTCAATAATGTGCTGACGGAAACTTTTTTCAGAATTTACAGTATAAAAATGGCTAAACAGGCAAAGAATAATAGCAATCGGGCCACTTTATAAGGAAAAATCTACAAAAAAATGCCTTTCTGCCAACACAAACTAGGCCTCTAGTCTCAAAGTGCTGCAGCCAGCTGAGGGCACTGCTCACTTTAGTTAAATTTGCCGGAGAAATTACCAGGCGACAATGGCAGGAATCAAACCACCGACGCCATTAAAAAGGCTCCGTGGTGACAGCGCATTCACTACTCAGCAAAACAGACACTTAACAGAGTGTGAGATATCACATAACATGAGTGCTTGTATCCGTCAGTCGTATAAGTAATCTGTTTCTGCTGAATTTCATTGAACACGTTCTTAAGTAACGGAGCATCTGCACAGCCAAAGGTTCAAACAGACGCACCTCTAACGAGAAAGATACAAAAATAAAACGGTAACCGCAACCGGCCTGTCTGAGGTAAAGGTTACTAGAGTCGTAGCAACGTCACAACGTGCAAAATAAAAAAAACACCACGACACCCTCCCCCCGCGCTCCACGGCACGACCAAACGCGCGTTGCCAGAAACTCCATCCCCTCTACCGTCGCGTCACTCGCCGGAGATCGGCACTCGGCGACGAAGGGGCTCTCATCGTTACGGAGCGCGTCGTCGCGGTGGGCCCTATGCCGTGGTGGCCGGGCGTTGTACGAACGCGCTTGGCAAACAATTAGTGGTCATTCGCGTAACAGCCGTCTTTTCTTCATGTTTGAGAAGCCATCGGAACATTAGGACAACGAGACATTGGCGTGGAGGGGTTGTTGCCCCTCCGACCCCTGCTACACTGCGGGGAAAATGCTACAAAAGAAAGTGGGAAGGTGTAGAGGCACAGCTGGCCAGATGGTGGGCTGCAGAGACTGTTGACAGCAGCCCAATTTGGAAGAGGTGGCTTATTAATTTATATCCAATTAATAAATCTGTTCAGCTGTCATGAATCTGGTCCTGTGAGACAAGCAGCCAATCTTGTGAGCATGAGACTGCTAGAGTCATACATAAAGGCTGGGTTGTGAGAGGTTTACTTTTATATAGAATCCAGATGGCAAATTGAGGTTTAGAAGGAATAAAAAAAATGCAATTTGCAGAAGTGAAAGAAGCATAAGATGTAAATACGTTGTCCTAATATTGTTTTAGCTTTTTCGAGTCCCACGTTTGTGAGAAAATGTGAATAGTCCCTTAAAATGAATAATAACTTCAATCCCTCAATAAAAGTTATTGGAATTATTGGTACACATTTTAAAACATTACTGCAGATGTTTAAATTAATATTTTTGTCACAGATCAGCAATTCATCTCTTGATGAATTTAAATTGGACAACTCTCAAGTAAAATAACCTATAAACTAGTTCTGCTAATACTCAGCACAGGATTTAAATCAACTGTGCATTGGACCTCGCAGCAAATTTTCATCGTAGTTCATAGGTCAAGTTTACATTTAAAATAAATGTTAAAATATGGCTGCGTGGTAAATAACATATAATACATATTCTTGGTTCTTTCGGTAAAATCACGTAGAAGGGAAACAATAAAATAATAATATATTGTTATATATATTTTTTATTGTTTCCCTTCTACGTGACTTTACCGAAAGAACCAAGAACATGAATCCCTGCAGTCACGAAAGCTTTAAATCAAGATATAATACAGTTTTTTTGTTTATTCTGATGAGAACTGATTGTACTGCAATCAATAAACGAATGTTTGTATATAAAAAAAACACCTACGTTTCTCGAACATCTTTTCGAGTGGGATTAGTTTGTTAAACCTACGTGCCAATTTTTCTATGTTTGACAATTAAATTGTAATACAACTTGTATACATAAAGTATTTAGAAAAATATTACTGCTATTTTTAAGGCGCTTTTGGTGTGAAAGGCTCTGAGTTTGTTCAGGACAAAGCCTGCATAACTAGGCCCAAGTAAATAAAAGTCTTCCATGATAGAAAATTTGCTTTCAGTAATTAAAACAAAAAAATGTTGTCTTGTTTTGGTGTTAAGACAAAATATATGTGCAACTGCTATTAAAAATAGTAATAAGTAAGCTTATGGTTAAATGTTTTATGAGGTAATGTCATTCCAGAATTTCTCATTACATTTTTCCTAGACCAAATAGACCACAAACTCCAACTGTTCATCACATTGCGATGGCCCAGGAAAGAACATTTTGGGTTGTTTGGCACTTGAAATCTTTCATAGTGTGGCTTTCCATACAATTTTCCCAAACTAAGAACAATAAAAATTTGACTTTTTTCCCCACTTACTGGTGCTGCCAAACAACACTGCCCCCCAAGCTAATGGTCTACAGACTACGGCCGTGTTTCCTCAGCCTCCGAAGGTCGGAGGACACTTTAATACAATGCAGTGGCTCGCAACTAAATCTGTTGTGCTGGTGTGCATGGGGATTGGAGGAGACTGGTAAACACGAAGAGCCGAGCCAAGGATGATGCTCATCGAGGTTTGGCATTTGTAATCGCTGATCTAAGGCACTTGTTACAATTTTTATTCCATAACCATTTAAGTACAATTTTGTAAATACAGCGCTTGAATGTGACATTTTTCTATTATTTAGGACTTTAAAAAAATACATTGGCCTAAAAGCCTGGTGTTCTGTGTCGTGTCATTTACTCCCACTCCCTCCCAGACCCCTCTCTTTCCCCCAGCACCACCAGCCTCCCTAAAAGCCCAGCCCTCCCTAATAAAAGCCAGCACTCTCTCTCTCTCTCCACATGAGACTCCACACCCCCTCTCACCCCCTCCTCCCACCTTGCAGGAGTCTGTGAGGGACGGTCATAAAAAAAAAACCACATGGGGCGTGCTTCTTAGGACCGTGCTCACTGCTTAGTTGTGCTGGACGGCCGATCTCATTCGATTTTGGCGCGTGGCGGTGGCGGCACCGGCAACCGTGATGCCGGCGGCACCCCAAAGTTACAGCCGTTGGAGCAGTTGTTGTTGAGCGGCTTCTGGTGTGGCGTGACGTCATTCTCGGAGCCCGCGCTCCCCTTGGGGCTGCTCCGTCGGCTCGGCAGCAGCAACACGGCCATCAGCGACAGCAAATGGAAGTGGAAGTACATGGAGCTACAGGCGCACACGGCGGTGGGGGTACAACGGACGAGTTGTCGGTTACCGGCCACAGGGTGGGCCACTCACGAGGCCTGGACCGTGAACGACGACTTTAATCCAAGGTCAAAGGCAATGGCCGATCGCTTAAAAATCTGTAGTTACGGCATGGCCGGCTCCGATTAGCACGGTTGGCTACGTACGGTGCGAAAGAAGTTCAACATATGTACATACATACACGATGGCTTACTTTTTCATGAAATGTAATTTTGCTTATTTTAACAGTTGTGTGCCTCTCACAGGAAATTAACTGTTGAATTTGCTTAGTGTTTAACTGGATGTGTGTTGAGCGAGTGCATCAACTGCTCGGCCCACCCAGAATCCACTTAATTGGCCTTGTTGTATCGGATCGATCGGCCATGCCATGCTAATCCACTGTTTCAGCCTTGCGGTGAATGATGGATTAATTCGGCCGCAAGGATGTTATGCTTAAACATTAGAGTGCTCTGCAGTTCCGGGCTGGGCCCGGAGGAGCAGGACTTACGAGTGCCAAATACCGATAAAGCGTCCAACCATAAAATGCGTGCGCGGGCAGGCGCTAGTGTTTGTGGATCATTGGTGGACCCCACTTAGCCAAACTCCTGGGTGATTTAAATCAGCGTGCCTGCACTAAATGATCGCGATTGGTAGAGATGGCAGCTAAGCAAAATAGCTATTAAAAGTTTCAACTACAGACCTGGGCCAGGTGACCGTGGAAGGTCGTGGAATATTTGCAAGTTGCGTTGCCCGAGCGGAGCTGTGAATGTGTAACTGTGACCCGTATTGCGGAGGACTGCCCTCTAACCAGGCTGCTCAGGAGGACTGAGAGCACTGAGCACTGCAGACGGAGATGTTGTGGCCTGGCTCGGCCAAGAAGGCACACGTTCGAAGAAAAATAGTGGTACGTATTACATTTCCCACATCTGGCTTCGTGACATCAGCGCGATCCACCAACCCCGCTGCTGACCTGTAGAATCGCAGCGTGGGCTCAGTGGCGAGCAGCACGAACGGCGCCACCGTGTAGGCGATGCCCATTTGCGTGGAGGCCCACGTGACCACGTCGTACGCCACCTTGAGGCCTCGTGAGCCCAGGAATAGGTGCCGGAAGTTGTTCCGCACCTGCACACACCGCACCGCACGCAAGAGCGCTCAGTCAAATTGATGTGGCGAGCGAAAGGTGTTACAGGGTGTGGTGGCTCATGGCTGCTGTCGGGTAATTTGGAGACAATGGGTGGTGGATTACGTGGATTTGTAAAACTTCTGAACCCACTGGGCTGCAAGGTGACCCAACACATGGTAAGGTGAGAAATTGGGCCGCGATTCCTGCTCGTGCAGGGCGATGAGTGTTAATCCCCTCATATGCACGGTGGGACTTCTGGTAATTATTTATTCAGGGAAGCGTCACTACATCTCAAATTTCCCGAGTGCTCTGCCTTCAAATGCAATTCCGTTCAAATTCAATTCCGTTAACGACGTTTTTGCTTGTGGTAGAACAATGGAGTAATTTGACAAAAACTTCACGCATATTAAAGGATACCACGAAAGTTTCTGCACAGATATATTAAATCGATTGGTGTACTGCCATTGTGACCTGAACAACTCGCAGAATCACAACCTTCCCATTTCCTCCTCCCTAAAGCACAAAGCTTATCAACGAATTGGCCAAACATCCAAAAATGCAGGACCCTCCTGAACAAAAGTCTTGAGACTCGAACAGCCATTGCTTTTTAAATACCCCCATTCCAAACTGTTGAGAACCACAAACTAATGCGCCCTTCTAGCTTTGGATTTTGCTCAGTCACCCATGACACACCCTCACTGCTCTGGAAGCTGGTACATCCACCCACCTTGGAACTCTCTCTCGTGCCAGGTCTGAACCTCGCGATACCTTGGGAGCCTTTTACGTTTTGTGTGCAATGTAAATCTGACTTACGTTTTTTCTCTTTTTTTTAATTCCCTGCCTTTCATAATTCACTTGTCAGGATGTAACAGCCACTGGGTTTGGAAAATAAACACATACAGTGGAATTATAGGCAGTACATAATTATTTACACAGACGTGTAAACCAGTGTTTCGGTTAAGTGGCTTGCATAAGAGATTTGGCAACAAGCCATTGATAAGGTATCATTTGAAATATCTACCCAGTAAAGCCTGATTGGGTCTCAAGACTATTTAAATGGATATGTTTTGGTATGAGTGGCCATTTCCGTATGACGTTTTGGGAATTAAAGGAAATCGTAGGTGGAGACCTATAACTGAGTAGTCATGTCATCCACATACTTTCTTTACTGCCTCATACAGGATTCACGTTGGCCTGCAGCTGAAGAGGTATCTCACATGCACGACTGTTCCACCCCCCGCATGATCCAACAACACAGACAATTGCCTCAACAACCAGCAAGAGGAAAAGATTACAACTTCCCCTGGATGAAAATTGTTGTGTACTCACGTGGTTCAAAGTCAGAGCACACACACCGCTACATTGCACCTTGGTGTGTCTATGCGAGATGCTGCGGCAGAGGACTCAGGTGGCACTACTAAGTTCATGGTCTCAGAAAAGTCGCACAAATAACTCATTGTATTCAATGGGGGCTTTTTTTTCACTTAATGTGGCTTATTACAGATTTTTTTTTATTAAATAAAAATTATTGACATGCACGACGTGTAAAAGGAGCAGCTCCCTACAGGTAACTTCAAAAGACATTCTGGGACATCTCCTTGCACGGCAAGATGACTTACTGCACCGGTAGGCGCAGTGGTAATATTGAATGATGATGGTGACGATGAGGACCGTTTGCTTTTGACTCATCGTGGTGGACTACACAATCGAAGGTTGCCCAAATGGAATGTCTTTGTTTCATGACAACGTGAAACCTACGGTATAATTGGAACACAGGAGGGAAATTTGAGATGTGTGATGAGTTTTTGCTGGGGGGGGGGGGGCGGGGGGGGGGAATGGGAGGGGAGGGGCTCACAGCTCGAGCTGCCATGGTCATGGGGATGCCGGTGAGGAAGGTGAAGTAGTATCCGGGGTAGACTCCATGCCACACGGCCGACAGCACGAACGTCGCCACCGTTCGGTGTTGTGCAGCTCGCTCGTAGCACACCCTGCCGGCACGTGGAGAGGTCGGATGGGGTCAGAGATTACACGGGTTGTATGAACGTGGTGGGGGGGTCATAGAGGGGTCAGAGGTCATACGGAAGGGTTCATGTGGAGGTTAAAGGTCACAAGAGTCTCACAATTTCACAATTGACCAAGTTGCAATATTAAGTCGTGTAGCTGGGTGGCTTGGGGCAAAAAAAAATACAATTGAATTTTTAAAACGCCCCACCTCCGGCTGATAAATAAGTACCACTTTGTGGGAAGTCAACAGTATTCATTGTACAGAGAGACTGGTCCTCACGACATGAATGTGGAATTGCTATGATTGGGTCAAGCCTGCCAATGCAGGTGGGAGTACTGTCCAATGCTTGGTTGTGCATGGGGATACTTAATCTGGGACGTTTTCTCAATATCTCATGACATGGGTTAAATACGTAGAAAGCAAACACACAATGTGAACTCACCGTTTCAGCCAAAGTGCAGTCTGTATGTTCCAGTTATCGATGAACATTTTGAAGCTGGTTGCTGTCTGTAGCGACAAAACAAACATACATTTTCCAATCGTAAAAACACAATGCACCAAGCTTGTGCGTTAAACATTACAAAACTACATATTGCACCCCGTTTTTTGAGACATTACTTTAAACAGGAGTAACTTGCGTGGCAAAGAAAAAAAAATAAACTCTCAGAGGAGTCACTGTTGGTAAAGGAAATTTTTCATTTTATTAAAAATTTCGAACAGCTGTTAAGCCTTTCTGTACAACCTTTCTTTTACATGTTTAAAAGGAGGCAGATTTCAAAAGAACATGGGATCCCTTCTTAGAGGATCCCCACATCCGGGGCTCTTGGCTCAGTGCCACCGTGACGACCATCTTGCAAACTGCTTGAAATCCAAAAGAAAATATTCAGTTATTTTTTTATTTTACCAGTTATGGCCCACTGAGCTATATAGCTCTTTATCAGAAGCGACCTGGCCACAAATGATAGCTCAACGAATTGGCTTATCTCACGGAAATGTATTGCAGCCAAATACTCTAAGCACATTTTGATTCTAACTGTGGAGGGAAAAACCAGAGGACCCGGAGAAAAATCCACACGCCCAAGGGGAGAAGTGTAAACTCCAAATATACAGCGGGCGTCATGGTCGGATCGAACCCACGACCTCCTGTATACCAGGCGAGGTACTTAACACCTCACCACCGTGACGCCCCATGCTCCTCAACCAATAGGCGGCACAGCTCCTAACTCTCTCACTTGTTAGTCACTTCCCACCCCCTCCATTCCCAGCCTTCTTCTAATAATTAAAAGAAAATAACGGCCTTCCCCGTGATATTCCTATGGTAGGCTCTGTCATCACGCCTCATATTTATCTTTAACACCCAAATTTGTATCATTTTCTAACGAATCTTGATTTGCAGCTTTCGTGACTGCAGGAATCCATACTCTTTGGTTCTTTCGGTAAAGTCACGTAGGTATAAAATTTAAAATAAATCACGACGTTTCGGGCACAACACAAGCGTCCGTCATCAGATGGGAAAGTCATGGTCTGCTGCCGAGGCAGACTGTTTTAAAACCAGTTATTTAACTATCTCCTGTAGTTAATAACCAATGGTGATCGATAACGATTGTCATCGGCGCGAATCTGCAGTGGTCGGGTTAAAACGTTTTTTGGTGTGGACATGTTTGTTTTGTTGTAGTACGGAGTTAGACTGATGGCCTTAATCCAAGTTGTCTTGTGGTTGTTTTTGTTGTTTGACTTGCATCCCACTGGGATTTTTTTGCACACAGCGTTGGTGTACGGTGCTTTTTCTGCAATATTTTGCTGTTTTTTCATGGATTTTTTGTTTGCACAGTCACATAGTCACTTTAAGATGTTTTCTTGTTCGTGTTTTAGTTTTTTGTTTTGTTGCCGGTTGCACCCGATTCAAGAGCCTAATGGCTCACAGGGCTATACCAAAATAAATGAAACTGAAACCAACACTCTTTCTCCATTTAGATCAATTTACTCATGCCTCTCATCTAAGTTTGAGAAAATGTCTCGTGATATTGCTGTGAATATTCTTAATAAGAGTGTCTCATTTTCCAGACTCCTCTTCTGATTTGCATGCTGTGACTTTCTTCATGCTATATCAGCGTCGCTGCTCCGTTGTTATAACATCTTTTGATATCATTTCCATATTTAGTTTTTCCCAAGTCCTTGATTTGTGAGGGACGAGGCAACTGCGTAAGTTTCCACTTCATAAAATTCCAATTCATAATAAGCCAGGCATAATGGTAAATGGCTATTAATTTATATTTCCTAGAATCTATTTGACAGTAAGTACAACAAAGTTAGTTTAACAATAGGCCATTTGTTATTGGAGGTACACGACTAGAAAACACAATGGAGTATAAACTGTGGCATTTATTTTTGGTGGACTGGGATCAAATTTATTACAAATAGGTGAGCCAGTGAAGGTTGAGGTGCTGTTGAAGATGTAATTTAATCAAGAGCAGTATATCAATGCACTGAAAGAGAAACGTTTTAAATTTACTGCGTATTTCTAGATATTGTATTTGGAACAGAATCACGGGACAAAAGTTGGCAAACGTGTAAAGAAACGGAGATACATGCTTGGAATTTACTATGATCGACAGAAAGAGGAGCAAATGGAATAGAGAACAAATGCTAGAGATGTGGAATTCTGAGGAAAGGCAAGCGAGGTCAGGGAGGACACGTCGCTATGAGGGATGACACCAAGGGTACAAGACTGGGAAAGGGAGTGGTGGCCAAAAGCGGAACATGTCTGAGAGGACGACCACCACGGGGGTGGAGCAATGAGATGTAGCTCATGTACGAGAGCAAGCTGGATTCGCAAGACCATGAGAGATGTATGTTGAACTTCTTCCGCATCATAGGTAGCCAACCGAGCTAATTGGAGGTGCGAGAGAAGGACAACAAAATAAACACAAAAAGCAGTTCTAAAGAAATTCGTTTTTAATCAACGTTTAAAAGTGCATAACTCCAGTGACTTCCTATTAAGAGATGGTGATAAAGTAGCAAGGCCTTCATCCAGCGGCGGATTGATCATAGCTGCTGATGATGATTATGATAACATGACGGCTCGCAGATATAGCTTGGTTAGCGAGTTGTCCACGCTCATTGCACGACTTGCGCAAGGGCTCGTCGTACCTCGATGTTCCAGATGTTGAGATTAGACACCAGGTCCCACTTGCTGCGGCCGTTCTTGTCGTAACCGTTGAAGCCAAAACCGGCCGCGTTGTTGATCGCGTCCGCTGCCGAAGACACACAGAGCGCACGGGACGCGCGGGGCGTCAAGCAACAGCGCTAGCGGCAGGCAGGGTGGCCGTGCGCACGGCCAAATGCTCACCAAATGAATATCCACAGCCTAGAGCTTTAATGAAATGCCGGCGCACGCTGTCAACTCGACTGAGACGACTATAAACGCCGACTAAATTGGCACTGATCACGTACGTATTCTCACAGCCAAGATTATGATTCACAATTGAGTTTTTTGGTTGGGGGATGGCCATCCACCACCCGATATAGCCAAACAAATTGAATTGTCACGTAGGTGTACAAATGGCCGCATTTCATCGGGACATCTTACCGGTGAGCTGAAACTAAAATAACCGACACGTTAAACGCTTGCGCACGTGACAACTAAACGTGTTTGGTGCTGTACGGTGGTGGATGGTCTTACGTCAGACAGTCTGGCCAGATCATTACATGGCCTAACGCCAAAAATCTATCGTAAATGAACACCGAGCCCACTGCATCACACTCACCCAGAGTCCAGGCGAAGTAGTACTTGGGCCGCCCACCCTGGCAGGACACGTAGAGGTAGCAGAGGCGCGCGTGCAACGGCGCCGAGGCGATGAATGCCTCGTCGGCATTGAGCGACACGGGGAAGGCCTTGGAGAGTGTCAGGTAGAAGACGAGCGAGAGCAGCACCATCAGCAGCTTGGATGTCACGGCCGCCTGCTCACACACAAAGATAGACAAAAATCCCCCATATAGCCTTAATGGACTGATAGGGCGAGTGCTGTTAGCGAGTAGCACCTATGAATGCGAGGAGGTGGATGGCCAACACCATGCCCGACCACCTTTGTCTCCCCAGTGGTGAGTACCAGGTACTCATTTGAGGCTAAGTCGACCTAGGGGAGGCCCAGAATCGCGCACACACGCACGCACATAAAGACCCCGCCCTTCCGTTTAGACCCGCAGACTCACAGCGGCACATGCTGCTCGCGAGCAAATATAAGAACCAGCATAATGCACCAAGGAGGTGATGGGAAATAAGGTGGAGGGAAATGCGATTGAGGTAGTGGCAGCTGAGGTGGGGGGGTGCTGTTGAAGGGAATGCGGCAGACGAGGGAAGAAGTGAGACTGGGTATAAATTGAGGAAATAGCAGTTAAATGGTGTGGCAGTTAACGGGATGACAGCTGAGAGGGCAGCAGTTAGATGGGTTGGCAGTTGTGGGGGTGGCGGTTGCGGGGGTGGGAAGACTGGGCAGGTTCAGGGACAGCGGTGACATTCGGTGGCAGTGGCTGTGAAACATCTGAAGGGGGAAACAGGAAGAGACGGCTGCCGTGTCAAAAGGCGAAGGTTGAAGAGGGTGGCGGAAATTGAAGGGGGGCGCGGCAGCTGAAGGGGGGCGGTAGTAGATGGGGGGGGGGCGGCAGGTGAAAGGGGGTGGCAGTTGAAGGGGGGCGGCAGTGGCAGTAGAAGGGGGGCAGCAGTTGAAGGGGGGGGGGTGGCGGTGGAAAGGGGGGGGCGGCAGTTGAAGAGGGGGAGGGCGGCAGTTGAAGAGGGGGAGGCGGCAGTTGAAGGGGGGTGCGGCAGTTGAAGAGGGGGGGCGGCAGTTGAAAGGGGGGGCGGCAGTTGAAGGGGGGGGGCGGCAGTTGAAGAGGGGGAGGCGGCAGTTGAAGGGGGGGAGGGCGGCAGTTGAAGAGGGGGAGGCGGCAGTTGAAGGGGGGGGTGGCAGTTGAAGGGGGGGGGGTGGCAGTTGAAGGGGGCGGGGCAGTGACAGGGCCCGGTGGGTGGGACATGCAGGTGCGCACCGCAGGCGATGGCTCATGTAGGGGGCCGTTCTCCCGGCCGCACGCGCCACTGCGCTCCCACCCCTTGTAATGGCTGCCCTCAATGAAGGCCGTGTAGTCCTTAAAGGAGCTGCTGGGCCCTGCGAGGATGCTCAGGAAGTTCAGGTTGAAGCTGAGAAACTGCAGCAGAGTAGGCAGTCTCCTGCGCGAAAAAGAAAAAAAACCGAGCTGTGTTATTCTGCATTCTACAGACAGTCTCAGGCACTGCAGGGGAACCTTCCAATGCGCATTTCTGTGGGGAAACATGCAAATGTATGTTCAAATCTACGTTAAATTGGACGTGCGTATTTGGGACACGATTATCACGGTTGGCTATGTACGGTGCGAAAGAAGTTCGACGTACATATAAGCACTCGCATTCTAACAGTGGTACACGAATCATATCGGCATGCGGAAAAAAACCCCATTAAATTAAAAACAACATTTTAAAGTATTTTATTGCCAATTTTCATAAATAGACGATACATATCTGGGAATTTGTGTTGGTAAGCCTTGTAGGAAAGATTTGTAGCGACTGTTTTTGTGAAAACAAGCGAGGGGGTTCTCAAATGGAACAAATCGTCCAATCTGTAAATGATGAGAAAAACATCGTAACCATGGTAACAGCGCAGGCTGGAAAACCGTGAATTTTAAACACACAAAAACGTGCAAAAAAAAGCACATGGCCTTTTATGTTTATTCAAAACCCCATCAAGAATACTTATTTAATAATTAAAGAGGACCATAACGTACATCTTCAGGAAATCCTGGTGGCTTTTGCATAATGCCCAGAGGCGTTGTGCTATTCTTACACGTTTTTGCGTGTCGCTTGAAACTTATCAGATGGACCAACGGGTGGATATAATATTTCAAGGGCGCAGAAATAAGTGGCCGGTGGTCCTCTCTTAAACATATGCGCACAACACACACAATCAAGTACAGATGCCGCACAATGTATTTGTGCATATGCACATATTCACGAGGCAAGGAAGTGTAGCAGTCTTCACACAACATCCTTCAGTTGCTCCGTAACCCTTTGTAGATAACCACTAAAGGGTCATGTCTTCGTGAATCTGTGAGTATGGTGGAGAAGCCGAGTAACCGAACGTAGCCAAATCAGAGCACACTGCGGTTCATTATCTCCTTTGAATTTGCATGCAGGAATACCAACGTGTGCACGCCCACGCGTGTGGATTCGTGAACACTCGTGTCTGTATGTGCGTGCGTTATGGTCTCACCTGGAGGCCAATCTCCGTTGTTCCACCGTAAGATCTTGGTCTTCTTTAATCATGCCTGGTGGCACGCACACACACGCACACACAAACACGCACACACAAACACACAAATCCTGTGAGCAGGCACCAACCAAGACCAGGTGCTCATTGTAGTCTGGGTGGACCGAAGGGAAAGGCAGACCAGGGTCAGATTCCAATTGCCAATGATGAGAACAGTGAGGAATTGACCCTGGCTCACTTGGATTGGAGGTTATTGCTTAAACCATTGTACCACTAATCCAAACGGAAACAAAGAAACAATGACACACACACACAATGATGAAAATACAATGAAGCACACACACAGAGAAATGCAAAGACAAATGCACAAAGGTATAAAGAGACACAAGTTAATACACACACACTGAGGCCAATCACCTTTTAGTGAACCTGGTTAGACCATTTTGGAACATATTATTCGTGAGCACCCATAATGGTCAACATTTCGTACAGGGGTGTGGTGAGGCCTACCATCAGGCCCGGCCTCTTTTGCCTGGTGTTGAAAAACCTGGCTGCATGTTTTCATTTAAATCTCAGTGAACTGCCATCGGCACACGTACAGAGTGGGAGGGGGGGGGGGCTGCCTTACATGCTGGGCACGCCAGCCCCGCTGTGCACTCCACGGCTGCCGAGCACTCGCGTGCAATGACACGCAGGCGCGCGTGTGGCGCGTGTGTCGAGGGGTACGGCCAGTACCCCCCGGTCTACGTCGGGCGATGCGTTCCCGAAACGTGCGACGACGAACATCGGAATGACGCAAGTCAAAGCAAAATGTAGTCCGCACGCAACGAGAGCGAAAACGAATACAACGGTAGGGTACGATGCAGCTGTGTGTTAGTGCGCGCGCCTTCATCCTGGACGTACCGACAACGTTATATTAATTTACTAAATGACTAAACATATTGTACCCAACACAAGTGTATAACAGTAAACTTTAACACAAATTATACAGAGTGCAATAATATACAGTGCACAATAAAAAAAAAATCACCAAAAATGCATGACATACATAATACATTCTTCTCTCCAGGAGAGTACATTGCTTCGTGCGCGACACAAAGTAGTTTACGTACAGGGTAGGTGGAAGCAAAGGCTGAGAGGCGACCGATACGAGAAAGGATGAATGATGATGCTGTCAGTAACTCAAGACACAAGTCGGGGGGGGGTGTTGCTGCATTCACTTTGGGAGATTCCTAAGCTGATATGCCAGGGATTTCTCAGCTACAAAAAAAAATACTCAATAAGGAAGCGAGGCAAACATTCTGAGTGTTGTAAAGAAAACGTCTTTGAGACTCTGTGAAGTATTCATGGGTGAAGGGAAAAAATGGAGCCGACATTTTCTTTCTCCGTTTTCCACAATTTTATTCAAATTGTGTTCCCGGCATTGCGTCTTAAAAGAGACGTTTCGATTCTGAACTCTCGCAGAGCAGTGTTACAGAACAGCCTGCAGAAGATGATGTAACAATGTTTAGTTTTACATAGCGCCATTTGTGCAAATTGCATCTCACAATCGCAGAGGAATCACAGCTGGAAGGTAAGCCAGTCCCAACAATTGAATCCTTTGGCGGAACCCCGGGGTCCCGCAAAAATCAGGTCAATAATAATTATTATTTTTCAGTCCGCCCACTCGTGATCCCGACTGCAACGCGCCGCCCGCCCAGACTCGCACCAACAAGCGCCAGCAGCAGCAGCAGCAGGCGGCGATCGACACGACGGGCGCCACCCCACCGGCCAAACGCGAGCCCCGGGGGGCGTCCGCCGCAGTCGCGCGCGGCGACGACTCCCTCCGGTCAGCCGTCGATCCTCAGCTTCTTTGCCAAGGCGAGCCCCGCCGCCCCCCAGGCAGTGAATTTAACGTGTTTATGTAATTTTTCAACTTTTTACGAAACTTAGTGCCCCCAAGTAGCTCTTGACGAGGCCAATCGATTGAGACTAGTTTTGTTGTCGGTAAGGCAACAAGACTCATGTCGCTACGCGGTTTTTCCCAACCCGGGGCAGTGATGGGACCCCGGGGTCCCGGCCAATTGCTTCAATTGTGGAAGTTTTCAGTCAATTAATGACCGTTTATACGTGTGGGGGGAAACTACAGCAACCGAAGAAAACCCACCCGTGCGAGGGGGCAACGTTGTATCCCATACAGAAAGCAGCAGCAGCAGAAGTTATTTGTCCACACTTTGCTGTACCGCCGTCTCCTGGCAAGCCAGGGTATGGCACCTCGACGCCCATGGGAAGCGAGTTTCACAACATCCGTGTGATCCACCGACACTCGTCTCCACGAGTTTACATTACAGGCCATGTGCGTAGGGAGCATTGCCTAGCGGTGGTGCGGAGCGGTGGTGGTGGTGGCAATGTCATTTCCCGTGACACGCGCACAAGGCGCGCTGCAATTTCCCGCGTGTCCTGTTCGCATGTATGTTGAACTTATTTCGCATCATACATAGCCAACCGTGCTAACAGGAGGCGCAGGGGAAGGACAACAAAACTAAATATAAAAAGCAGTTTTGAAGAAATAAAATATTCTTGAGAATAAAATTCTCGAATGAAATTTTTAAGAAATGCTTGAGAGATTCTCATTGCATGGCAATGAAACTGAAAGTAGTATATTTTTTATTCTAGAACTTATGCAAAAGTGAGAATCCAAATTTCACGTTATATTTTTTTCTCTGCAGTTCCTGGGTTATGTGGCAGAAATAATCAACGAACTTACCGCTCTTGAAAACTCTGTTTAATCAAGGACAGCTGCCTGGGTTCGAACACAGAATCTCATGAGTGCCGGATCACTGCTGTAAACAGGGCTGAGCTTTAAACTTACCATCATGAATCTCAAAAGCCAGGCTTGTTATCTTCTGTGTCATCACCATCATGGGACTGAAGGACAAGCAGAGGTGAGGGAAAGAGGTCAGAGAGGACATTATAAAAAGATAGCAGCACAACATCGTTACGAAGGGTGGGAGAGGTGGAAAAAGTTTTCACAACATCCATATTCTCTTTTTACAGCAGCCACACAATAATGCAAATATATTGTCCACCAGGCCACATATTTTTAGTTGTCGTGTACTTGTGACCACATTATGCCATATGCTATGTCACATGTCATTGTGATGTCACCATCGGTACATGTGCTTACTAATATTTACCTCCTATGTTCAGGTCTCTCATCTCTCGATCTCACTTTTATCACACTCGCCTGCATATCTTGTATACCGCTCTCCCATCTCTAACACTTGTTTTTGTACCTTTCACCTCAATAATCTGTATTAAATTTGTCTTGGCGGCCCATAAATTGGCAGGCCATTGCTGGCTTACGGACCGCTGTTGAACAACCCTGCTCAAGGAGAACGTTATAAAAGCAAATGCTGATATGCCGAGGTAATAATAAGATCCCGTGGGCACATAAGGCCACACGAACTGAAATACCAACTTTGTGAAAACTGGTTCAGTGGTTAGCGTGTGCTGCTTTTAAAGGCGCAAATTAATTTTACAGCGTGACGATCATAAAGTAACCAAATTAATAATAACATACACGGAAGACTTTTAGAAAAAGCGTAAAGGAAAAAATTAACGCAAACATATGGAAGAGAAAAAGTTGGCCTTCTTTGAACATGGGAGGTACAGATGAGAATACAGGAAGGCCATGCCTTGCTGTGTGTGCAGTACAGGAGAGGGAGTGACCTCCCATTGTGTCAAGATTGATCGAATACTGAGACACAAGGCTGTATTTGTTGATGAGGACAAGGCAGGGAGGAGGAGAAGGGAGCCAAGTTTACAGAAGCAAAACAACCACAGATAAATTTCTGATTAATCGTTAGCAAGCAGAGCCAAGAATATATTGTCGAAGCTCCACAGTGGGATAAAGCGATTGATTTGCCGCTGAATGAAAATCCAGCAGCAAACATTTGGCGACAAAGAATAAATGAGCGCGTTCCAAGTCTGAGTCCAACATGCACCAACGCGCGGGTGCATAAAAAGATAAAGATCCCCCATATATCTTAAACAGACTGTAGGGAAAAGTGCTGTTAGCAAGCACCAATGAAGGTGGGAGCAGCACACGAGGGGGTGGGTTGCCAGCACTACGCTCGGCAGCCTTTCTTTCCCTAGTGGCGATGTTTACACACGACCTTAGGTACTGATTTGAGGCTAAGTCGACCTCGAGGAGGCTCAGTACCGGTTCAGATATTCGTCACTGATGTTGGCCATGAGCGAAAATATGACTCGGGTCGCCAGGTTCGCAGCGCAGCGGGCTAACCGCGACACTACCGCTCCGCCCAAACGCACGCGTGCACACACCCACCCACACGCAGGCATTAACTTGTCCGAATGTAACTACCGTCATTGCCCGTGGAGGCGGCAGTACAAGGCACGTTATCTATCATCTCTGACGCCTGTGAGCGTACCGACCGCTGCCAGCCGCACCTTCGCAGGGGTCAAGAGTGCGTCATCGCACGTCCGCTAAACAGTCGCTGTGCGGGCAACGTGACGTCATGGCGTAACTCAACCCGCGGGGCAGATGTGTGGTATAGGAGGGATGTGGAGAAATAGGAATCATGAGGATTGTGGTCCAAACAGTGGTGTAGGGATGGCACCGAGTCAGATCGTGCCTCGTTAGGATTTCATCTTGTCAATGTTTGTCGGATAATTCTTGTGGCACCACCATACTAAATATGGCAACAAAACGTTCACGCTTATGTATTTACTAAATATCTATGGCACAGCACAGGGCAATACCATCTCATTTTAGTAAACCGCGGTGCAGTCATTATCATCATCGCTATGATTATCATCATGATAATTATTAGTGACCCTTCAATAGTGCCTTTCTCATATTGATATATATATATACCATTGGCATCAAGGTAGGCTTCATTAAACTAGGTATGTTTCCAAAATGGCCTTCAGAGTGCTGTTATACTGACAACGAGTGTCATTCCCCAATGCAGAAAAAATTCTGGACGTTAGGACGCGCGCCTCCAACAAACGTCTCTCATTGCTGTAACTCGCGACGTTTGATTGATCACCACGAATCCATTTGGACCTGCGAGACTCACCCAGAGAAGTCGGTGGAGAAGACCCCCGAGGTGAAGATGTAGACTCGGCTGATTTGGCACACGGTCAGGTAGCCCATCGCAAAGATGAAGGTGTATCTGCAATGCACAGACACACGCACCATGGGCCGAGGTTAATATTAGCAACGCAGAGATTTACCGTATTCTGTGGACTTCAGGAAATGCTCTTGACCCATGTAATTAAGGAAATAGATGGTGGTGTATTTTATAATCCGGAAGCTATGTTTGTGTGTACGACCACATTTGCATAACTTTATAGACACCGGGTACAGGTTCTTCATGCATCTTATTTCATGCAGCGCCTTATCTAGAGTATCAATTAATCATTGTCATCATCAGCCATGGCTAATCCACTGCTGGACGAAGGCTTCCCAAAGTCACTGCCATCTCTCACATTCTTACGATGCAATAATCCGAGCACCAGCGCATGAGCCAATCTCTCACTGCTCCATCAACTCATTAGAGGTGCTCTCAGAAGCAGTCCATCCCCTTAGCTGCCAATCCGTCGTTATTCTTGACCAACGTATCAATTCGTCGTTGAGAACAAATTCTTAGGCTCACGATGCGTGCAATTGAATCGCACAGGAGAGAATACATTCTTGCATTATGTCCACATATAGGTCAGCGGTGCGAACAATATTGTACACATAAGACAGAAATCCATTCAGGACCAGTTCCTGCCATAGTAATGAGGAATTTCTACCACTGTCTTAGGCAGGTTTGAGCATGACATCACATTGCCAATGGACTCAACTGAGTTTGTGCGTGCATGTGTGCGAGTTTATGCATATTCCGGGGAGCGGTAATGGAGCGGTTAGCGCGCTGGGCCACGAACGCGGCAACTCGATTTCGATTCCTGCTCTCGGCCAACACCAGCTTCAAATAGGTACCTCGTGCGGTATGTAAACATCGTCACTCGGGAGACGAAGGCGGTTGGGCATGGTACTGGTCACCCACCCCGGCATGTGCCGTGGCGGCGCTGATAGGTGCTGCTCGCTAAGAGCACTTGCCCCAACAGTCTGTTAAGTGTGTTTAGGAGTCTTTGTCTTTGTTTATACATACGCATAGCAATGTGTACGCATGCATTGCCACGTGTTTCCCTAGTGACAGACCACAAGAGGCAATCGTGTAGGGGACGTGGGGGGGACGGCAGGGTGTGGCGTTTGTGGAGGCAGTAGCATTCATTGGCATTAGAAATCGTCGGAAGCGCCAGCTTGTGCCAACTGCATCTCTCCCTCTCCTGACACAGCGAGACGTTTACTCGCTGAAATACAAATCGAGGGTTGGCCTTGGCAGTCAGATCTGGCACAAGGACTGTGCCGAGGTCGGTCTGCAACGTGCCGCTCTGCTATTGGCAAACACGTGTATTTTGTTTGGGCCAAAACGCATGGCGAGGGTTTCCCAATGCTAGCCACCGTTTCTAATCGTTACAGGTCTAACTCTAAAAAACAAACCCTTAGTCCTCTTAATGGTCTTGAACTCACCTTGGCACTTAACCCTCGTCAGAAAAAAAAACCATTACTTGTAAATCTAACAACCCCAGGGAAATCTATGGCCCTATCATTATGATACTGGAGCCCTATTACTAAGACGGCTAGCTCTTTTGTTATTGTATTTTTTTTCTAATTTATCACAGAGCAATGACTTGAAAGGAAATATGAAGCCATTTTGTGAATTCCCTGCGAGAAGAGGACCTCCCCCTCACCACTGGGAGTATTTGACCATACTTCACCGTGCTGGTCAGTGCGGGTGGGTAAAGGTGTGGAACATAGTCGCGTGAGTTTGGAAGTAGAGTACAACAATTGATTTGGCCGCACTGCCTCCTGCTGCCCCACCAACTCGCCCAAGCAAACCAATGGCAACCCTGCTTGTGTGTGGTGGCCACCCATCCACCAGGCACAGACTACAACCCTGCCCTTGCATTGCAGAACTCATGAGATCAGAGGCATTTCCTGGCGACGAGGCCGTAAGGCAATTTTGATTTGTTACAGATGGAAACAAACGTGTGTGGCGATCTGGCACTTCCGAGGATTTCCAAGCAGCCACCAGCAACGGCATCCCGGTGTGAGATGGTAAACGTGATTACATTATTTATCAGGCTCTGGGCAGCATGGTGCGAGGGGTGAGATTGTGGTGGGGGGGGGGGGGGAGCAAGGCGGGGGGGGGGGGTGGGGGCGGGGCAAGGGGGCGGGGTCTCCCCCTCTTTATTCCACCTGATGACGATTGCTTGCGTTGTGATCGAAGCGTCGTGATCTACTATATTTTCTACCTACGCGACTTCACCGAGAGAACCTAAGAGGATGGATTCCTGCAGTCACGAAAGCTTCAAATCAAGATTGTCCCCCACTGTTCGGCGACCATACTTGTGCACGTTGCGGGTGTCCACGAGGACGATGATGGCGTAGCTGGCGATCACCTGCACGAAGAAGTGAGTCGCGTACCTGTGCACGCCGCACAAGAGAGGCAGAGAATGTTCAGGCAGGTGCTGCGAGACGGCATAGCAACGTGAAGACCGTGGCTGGCTCCCCAGTGTTGAGGATTACGTACAGCGAGGGAAAAAAGTATTTGATCCCCTGCTGATTTTGTACGTTTGCCCACTGACAAAGAAATGATCAGTCTATAATTTTAATGGTAGGTTTATTTTAACAGTGAGAGACAGAATAATAACAAAAAAATCCAGAAAAACGCATGTCAAAAATGTTATAAATTGATTTGCATTTTAATGAGGGAAATAAGTATTTGACCCCTCTGCAAAACATGACTTAGTACTTGGTGGCAAAACCCTTGTTGGCAACCACAGAGGTCAGACGTTTCTTGTAGTTGGCCACCAGGTTTGCACACATCTCAGGAGGGATTTTGTCCCACTCCTCTTTGCAGATCTTCTCCAAGTCATTAATGTTTCGAGGCTGAGGTTTGGAAACTCGAACCTTCAGCTCCCTCCACATATTTTCTATGGGATTAAGGTCTGGAGACTGGCTAGGCCACTCCAGGACCTTAATGTGCTTCTTCTTGAGCCACTCCTTTGTTGCCTTGGCCGTGTGTTTTGAGTCATTGTCATGCTGGAATACCCATCCATGACCCATTTTCAATGCCCTGGCTGAGGGAAGGAGGTTCTCACCCAAGATTTGATGGTACATGGCCCCGTCCATCGTCCCTTTGATGCGGTGAAGTTGTCCTGTCCCCTTAGCAGAAGAACACCCCCAAAGCATGTTTCCACCTCCATGTTTGACGGTGGGGATGGTGTTCTTGGGGTCATAGGCAGCATTCCTCCTCCTCCTCAAAACACGGCGAGTTGAGTTGATGCCAAAGAGCTCCATTTTGTCTCATCTGACCACAACATTTTCACCCAGTTGTCCTCTGAATCATTCAGATGTTTCATTGGCAAACTTCAGACGGGCATGTATATGTGCTTTCTTGAGCAGGGGGACCTTGCGGGCACTGCAGGATTTCAGTCCTTCACGGCGTAGTGTGTTACCAATTGTTTTCTTGGTGACTATGGTCCCAGCTGCCTTGAGATCATTGCCAAGATCCTCCCGTGTAGTTCTGGGCTGATTCCTCACCATTCTCATGATCATTGGAACTCCACGAGGCGAGATCTTGCATGGAGCCCCAGGCCGAGGGAGATTAACAGTTCTTTTGTGCTTCTTCCATTTGCGAATAATCGCACCAACTGTTGTCACCTTCTCACCAAGCTGCTTGGCAATGGTCTTGTAGCCCATTCCAGCCTTGTGTAGGTCTACAATCTTGTCCCTGACATCCTTGGAGAGCTCTTTGGTCTTGGCCATGGTGGAGAGTTTGGGATCTGATTGATTGATTGCTTCTGTGGACAGGTGTCTTTTATATAGGTAACAAGCTGAGATTAGGAGTACTCCCTTTAAGAGTGTGCTCCTAATCTCAGCTCGTTACCTGTATAAAAGACACCTGGGAGCCAGAAATCTTTCTGATTGAGAGGGGGTCAAACAATTATTTCTCTCATTAAAATGCAAAAAATTTATAAACATTTTTGACATGCGTTTTTCTGGATTTTCTTGTTGTTATTCTGTCTCTCACTGTTCAAATAAACCTACCATTAAAATTATAGACTGATCATTTCTTTGTCAGTGGGCAAACGTACAAAATCAGCAGGGGATCAAATACTTTTTTCCCTCACTGTATGTATGTTCAACTTATTTCGCACCGTACATAGCCAAGCGTGTTAAGCAGAGGTATGGAGGAAGGACAACAAACTGCACCATTTAAATCTTAGTCGACTTATGGGAGGACCAGGACCAGTTCCGACATACATCGCCACTGATGTTAGCCGTGGTCAGGAATCGCTTACAGCTTCTTCAATCAATGGTAGAACACACAGGCACATTCATGTAGCCCCTATAAGCAATTTCTTGCCAAGATCCTGCGCAAAAACAGTGAACAGATGAATGAAGAAACATCTTGAGCCTGGACTTGAGCATGGAGTCGACAGCATTGATGGCGGTTCACATCTGAACTATTATGAATGTGATGCATGCTTATAACATTTTTTTTTTACCAGACCCTGCTAGATATGAAGGGGAAACGAATATTTGCATGAAACACAAACGCGCTTAAATTAAAGGCATTTAAATTAAAACAATAACAAAAAAATAATTTGCACCCCTTCTGTCCCCGATTACGCAATTTCAAGACCGTAAGCAAGCGGCATAAACGGCACCGCTCGGTCACCGCAGGGCTTGGCAGCCGACGTCCCTGAAAGCCGTAACGCGGCAACGCGGCAACGCAACCCGCGCGTGCGTGCGCGGCACGGGAGATCATGGCGCGAGCATCAAATCCAAGCGCGCTGCCGCCAAAAGGCGCAGCAGTTGGGGAAAGAATTCTAAAAGCACGGAGCGAGCGAGAGAGAGGGGGAGGGGGGGGAAGATGGGGGCAGCAGGGGGTGCGGGGAGGGGGGGTGGCAGGAAGCATCGCTGCGCGGCTCGGAAATCGCACGCACGGCCTCGCCGGTGCTGGGCTCCTTCAGAGGAAATCCTTTAGAGAGGGCGGGGGGGGGGGCAGAGACGATCCCTGCTATTGGCTCGCAACTTGCTGGGGTTCCAACGGGGTTCCCCTTCCCATCATCTGGCCACAGATGCTGCCAGACTTGAGCGCGCGCACACATCCTGCCCTAAAATACCATTGCCGCTTTTGTTTTTTTGCACTGAAATCTGTGTCCCTTTGTCTGGGCGAAAGGGAGGCCAATGATGTTCATTATTAAAGTTCTCCAAAGGAGAGTTTGTTGATGTGGTTTGCACAGCAGCAGCAGCAGTAGCCGTTAATATTACTGTAATGAAAATATGTAAAAGTTACGGTTAAAGTTGTTTTGTTTTACTCACTCGCTTGCTCAGCTCATTCTCTCCATGCACTCAAGCAACCACATAACCGTAGTTAAGGGCCCAGGACATGACCTTTCATTTACTTTATTGGTACAGCCTGATAACCTATATACATGAGTGGGTTATTACACTCTTGACTGATACTGGACAAAATAAAACTGGTGGCACTCACGTTTTTTTCCCCATCTGAGACGGTAATAAATGTCTTCTGTATTTGGAGTTTGCACATTCTTTCTCCCCGTGGTCACGTGGATTTTTCTCCAGATTCTCCAGTTTTGCCCTCCACAATTTCAGACGTGTTTTGATTATTTGGCTGCTGCTATAAATTCCCACGTGTGATATTAGCTACTTCGATGAGCTATATGAAAAAAAATCTCAGTGGGCCTTACCTGGTAAATAGAACAGTTCAGTTTAGTTTAGTTCTATTGACTATCACTTTGTCCACAGCTCCACTCACCCATCCACCCATACATTCACTCATCCACTGACACACACGTTGACTCAAAAATTAAAACACTGACTTCATGACCCACCCATTCACTTACTCACATTCACACACTCAATGATCTGCCCATCCACTTCACTCATCCATTCACACATTCCATTCCCCATTCAACCACTGCCTCACTTACCCACCCACCCACCCCTGGTTTCACCCACCCACCCACCAACACAACACCCAGTCACTCACTCACCTATTCAACACCTCGTTATCCACCCACTCACTAACTCAAGATAGTCACCCAACCACTCACCTACTCCACACACCCACCCACCCACTCACTCATCCCCTACCGACTTCCCACCCAATCTTACTTCCCACCTAGGGTGCCCATGGTGGCAGGATGTTAATTACCTCACCTCGTATACAGGAGGTCGTGGGTTCAATCTCGACCCTGACGCCTGCTGTGTATTTGGAGTTTGCATGTCTCTCTCTCCCCGTGGCAACGTGGATTTTTCTCCGGGTCATCCAGTTTTTCCCTCCACATTCAGAATCAACATCACGTGTTTAGAGCATTTGGCTGCTGCAATTTTCCACGTGATCATAAGCCACTTAGTTGAGCTATCATTTGCGGCCAGGTCGCTTCTAAAAAAAAAGAGCTATATAGCTCAGTGGGTCTTACCTGGTAAAATAAAAAAAAGATTTTAGTTTTTAAACAGGTTTAATCACTGCCCCAGTCCATCCACCCACCCCATTTCACTCACCTCACTCATACAACCCCCCCCCCACCACCCACTCACCCACCCACCCCCCCACCCACCCACCCACCCTGTCACTCACCAGCCAAAGCAGAAGATAGCGAAGTACGACCCGAGGAGCGTGGCCAGGCCGTGCCGCACACGCTCGCTCGCCGCCCTCGGGTGCAGGTAGAGGCGGAAGAAGAACGCCATCGCCAGTGCGAGCAGCTGGCACATCACGAAGTTCACCTGCGTGGGGGCACGTCCCGTGGCGCGCGGTTAGCTCGGCACCCATTGAGAGCCCTTTGTCAATTCCCCCTTGCTGCGTGAAGGCCGCTCTCTCCCCCCACGCTCTGTCGGGTCACCGGGCTGGTCAGCGGAGGTTGGTGAAGAGGGCATGGCCGCTCAGAGACTGGGTGCCAAAGGCAACATTTTCCCCAGGCCTTACACAAAAGAGGGCTGCCAAAACAAACCCGTCTTATTTATTTATCTTTACCTATAAACACGGTGGCATCACGTGAGATGGTGCCCCAGTACTTCAGCCCGGGGCCTCAAGGTATATCTGTGGCCCAGGGGGAAGCCAGGGCCGCTTTGGATGTCACTCGCCACTGACGTTAGCCGTGACAGGGACATCAGCTCAGGTAAATGGGTTCATGGCACAGCGAGCTGATCACTGCACCACCACTCAAAAGTCGAAGAATCTTGAGGCGGATGGGGTAAGAGAACTCACCCCGTACCTCTGACCAACACGGTTGGCTATGTACGGTCTGAAAGAAGTTCAACCATACACACATTTACATGCGATGTGAGACGGCACCGCAGCGATCCTGCGTCCAGATCCGAGTTTGCGGAACGCGTTAGTAAACCGGGCCGTCAGGTTTAGGGAGCCGACGGGTCTCAGCACAGTCACCTATGACTACGTCTGTGAAGTCTCTGAGGGCAGGGTGATGGAAGCGCTGGTAGCCGCATAGTTTCCGAATGGAAACGCGTTTGTCTCATTACACCGACAGCACACTGGCAGCACACCGGGAAGACAGTTTTGGGGGATGAAAAAAATCAGTGCTTATCTCCACAGTCAGTTGTGAGCCAGTGGTGGAAAATCCACATTCCTATGATAGGGATAATTATTTTCAATAGCATATATATACACACACCAGCGTCAAAATATATCGCCAGTATACGACATGCAGTGTTGAATGGGTTCAACTTAAAGAGGGGATGGAAAGGGATACACGTGGTAACACACACAACAAAAACCACATACATTGGGTAACAATGTTTATTTAAAATAATTACTTTCATTTAAAGCTTTCGTGACTGCAGGGATTCATATTCTTGGTTCTTTTGGTAAAGTCACGTAGAAGGGAAACAATAAAATAATAAAAATATAAAACAATAAAATTCTCACGACGTTTCGACTGCAACACAAGCAATCATCATCAGGTGTGAAAACCACAGCAAGAAAATTTGAACAAAAGTGGCGTTTTTTAACGTTAGCACCACGGAGAGCGATTTGGCAGTTATTCAGATGGACGAGTCCATCTATGTTTGGAAAAGAGGAGGGGGGGAGATGAAAATAATGGATCCGTAAGTGTAAACAATCAATTAAGACCCGAAATGGTTTATCAAATCCTTCCAATGATTGCCAAGCCAGAATCCATATTCTCGGTTGAAATTGTCTCTGTGTTTGTATATGTGGATAGCCTCATGAACGAATCTCTCATGGTAGCGAGATGGCTTGCAAAGAACCTCTGTCTTGGAGAAGTCAATGTTATGTGAGCCTACTGAATTATAACAGTGATCTGCCACGGCCGAGGTGTTGGTCCTACCGTGTTTTAGGTCTGCTTTGTGTTCACGAATGCGGTCCGAGACATGTCGTTTGGTTTCTCCAATGTAACTACTACCACAGAGGCAACTTAGTTTGTAGACGCCAGGGTACTGTATGTCCGGAATCACATCTTTTACAGATGGAACCAGATCACGGATTTTATGTAATGTGTTGAATTGGACCTGGATCTTGTGTTTATTCAAGATTTTGGAGATCTTTTTTTGTGATCCCCACAATGTAGGGTAAAGTGATGGTTTTGAAAGGCACCTCAAGAGGGTCCTTCTTCATGGTGATAGCTTTGCAGATTGTGTAGTTGGAGTAACCATTAGCCTTAAGAGCTTGGTGTACGTGCTTGAGTTCACTGTTATAATTCAGTAGGCTCACATGACATTGACTTCTCCAAGACAGGTTCTTTGCAAGCCATCTGGCTACCATGAGAGATTCGTTCATGAGGCTATCCACATATACAAACATCAAGACAATTTTAACTGAGAAGATGGATTCTGGCTTAGCAATCATTGGAAGGATTTGATAAACCATTTTGGGTCTTAATTGATTGTTCACGCTTACGGTGGCTTTCAGACCTTAGCCATTATTTTCGTCTCCCCCCTCCTCATTTCCGAACATAGATGGACTCGTCCATCTGAACAAACTGTCAAATCGCTCTCCGTGGTGCTACCGTTAAAAAACCGCCACTTTTTAAAAATTTTCTTGCTATGGTTTTCACACCTGATGATGATTGCTTGTGTTGCAGTCGAAACATTCGTAATAATTGTATTCTTTTATATTTTTTTTATTATTTTCTTGTTTCCTTTCTACGCGACTTTACCAAAAGAACCAATAATATAAAATAATCACGTGAAATTTGTTATGATTGTTACTTTGGCAAGGAACATGTTGGAGAGGTGTTTTTCCAATCGGCGAATGTGCCAGGAAATGATCTTTATACACGGAGGAAATGCAAATGTCGTTTCACCAGTGCTTCGCTCAACAAAGGTAGAAATGTGTCTTAATGGTCTCATAAACCACGGAGTCCCAATGCTCACAAATGCATCGGGGGGAAGGGCAGCACTGCGGTCTCCCGCCCACCACGTGGATTTAAGTCAGCAGTAGGAAATTCCACATTCCCATGGTGGTGACCAGTCTCGCCACAGGGCAATCACTGTGACGCAGTCTCACCAGGTGGCGTTCATGTCACCGGATCAGGTACGATAACGAGAAACCACGCTAGGTTTCCAATTCTCAATTTTTATTTGAATAAAAGTTGTAGAGAAAATGAATAAGGATTAATGTCCTTTCTAAAAAATGTATCGCGAACATGATGAACATTTATACAGATTTGACATTGTGGTGACGGTGATAATAGTGGTTGTGGTTATCATGATTTTTGTAGCAGTAGTGATAACTTCTGATGGCGGTGATAGCCAAGGTGGTGGTGGTGATGATGGGGTGTAGTGGACCCTGGCTGAGAATCAAAGTCACGACCTCACAAGTGTGCGAGTCCAGATGCTCGACAAACCAAGTTATAACTCGAAAAAAATCACCGTGGTTAATTTTTTTCCACGTAGAAAAACATCATTGTGACTCAATTCATCTATATTGCTCTGCGAAAGAAATAACTAAGTACGTCCACTACAAAAAATACATCTGCCAAAACAACAAATCAATTAAGACAAATCCACACATTATTTCATTTCTGCTTCAACCTACCCGTCCCACCCGGAAAAAAACTTGTTTGCGTGGTTGTTATTTTTAAACACGGGCGATTTGCGGCTAACAGAATGTAACCTCGCTCACGTCATCGCACGCACCCCCAGGGGCCAGACGACAGAGACTCCACGCTGGCGTCACTGCCACCGGCAGTCGCGGTGTGGGAGGGGGGTCTCTTAGCACAGCCCGGCTCGACATGGCCTGCTCCTCGCCCAGCCCCGTAGCGTGGGGGTGGTGGTGGTAGTGGAAGTGGTCGGAGGGGGCGAGCTCCACCAACACCGCTAAGGAAAGTTTATCGCCCTTCTAAATAATTATGGATGTACCTATGATGGAACGTAGCCAACCGTGCTAATCGCGTTGCACCGATTGCTCGCGCGCACCGACTTGATCTGTCGCAGCAACTCTCTTGTGAATGTGCAAGGCTTCACCTAACGACGACGGTGATATACCAGCCTTCCACACTTGCTGGAGGGGGTTGCACAAAAATCGTAGCCTTTCCTCGCACACACACATACAAGGGGGTTTATGACAGCGAGAGGAGATTTCTGTACGACGGGCAAAGGCAGATTTTTATTAAAGTTTGTTTCACAATGTGTCGTGCCACCAACTCCACCCTCATCCCTGCTGCGCGTTTAAACGATCACGCTACAGGATGGGCACCTGTGCTGCAGCCCCGTCCGCGATGGGGTGCCACGGTGCAGAGATGTTAACTACCTCGCCTGGTCCACAGGAGGCCGTGGGTTCGATTCCAACCCTGACGCCGGCTGTATATTTGGAGTTTGCGGTGTCTCTCTCTCATCATCATCACCACGGTGGCTAGGAGATGTTAACTACCTCGCCTGGTATACAGGAGGTCGTGGGTTTGACCCTGACGCCTTCTGCTGTATATTTGGAGTTTGCCGTGTCTCTCTCTCTCCACGTGGTCGCGTGGATTTTTCTCTGGGTCCCCTGGTTTTTCTCTCCACATTTGAAAACGTGCGTTTTAGAGTATTTGGCTGCTATACTTTTCCACGTGATAAAGCTACTTCGCTGAGCTACCCATGTGTGGCCAGGTCGCTTGTGAAAAAAAAAAGCTACATAGCTCACAGTGGGCCTTTCCTGGTAAAATAAAAAAAAGTTTTAGTTTAAATAGTATTTGGTTACCCCAACGGCTGGATTCCCTGCTCGCGATGCCAGCAGCAAGCAGCCAGGGGCTGGAGGTGGGGTGGCTGCGGGAAGACGCAATGCGGGGCTGCAATGTAAGACGGTGCGCGTTTCAATGCCAAGCGTGGCCAAATACGCTGCCAATGCCGCCCATTGAAGGATAAATAACGCTGCTGCTTCTGCTGCTGCTACGATGGCCCCATGGCGCTACTGAATGAGGGGAAAAAGGTCCCGTGGCACACATGCCCGGCTGGCACGGCGACGATGCAGCTCTCCCACCCCTCTCGCCTGCGACCCTGGATCTTGACTCGATTCAGGATCGTGAATCAATTCAATACTCTAGTGGGATTTCTCATGGTTTCATCTTACTTTCTACTGTTCTGAAAAAGAATACTGTCCTCAAAATATATTTTTTCACAAATGCTCTTTCCCATGTGTAATTTTTTTGTCACACACGTTTGCATAAACGTAACATCGTATATAACGTGCATATTATTAGCATTCATTGTATGGAATAGATCCTGATTCGATGCATGTACCATGAATGCAAAGATAGATTTTATAGGAG